TTATCTATCAACCCCGAGTCATACTCTGTTATGTGGACTTAGAAAAATAAATAGATCTTGACCCATGCTTCCTCTATTCACGCCTCTCGACTTTTCCGACAACACTGTCCTTCCATCTGTTTTTTTCAATCAGACTTAAGTCTGTAAGTTGTGGCAGAAGGGGTGATAAGAGTTGTCTGCAGTAGAACGTGACTCCTTACACTCTGCAAGAAAATAAAATACATTAGTACACATAATTTTAGTTTTAGCTAACGGCTAAGTAAGCGTGATAAGCAGGAAAATCTGCAAAAAACCTGCTCGGCAAACAACACTGTCCTTCCATCCCTCGCACGCCGTACTTTATAGCCAGCCCCTTCGTGGGCCTCTCGTCGCCGGGGTCTTTCTCGTTGGGCCTTGCTTTCGTCGCTCGTCGCCCGCTTTCTCTTTTATGCTCGCCACAGTTTCTTAAAACTACGCTTTCCTAAAATTGCGATACTACAGTTGTTCGTCACCTCCGAGTCGTACTCTGTTATTCGTCAAGTCCCAAAACCGCTGGACCTTTCCGTATTCCCACTACCCCAAAATAAGGCCTACGAACCTTGATAAAGGCGAGCAGTTGAACATCGCTACGACCGAACGTATCTAGAAACTGAGTGCTTTGGAACTTGTAAGATTTCGTGTAGAAAATTTAGTAAAATAAAATTGTTATTTTTTATTGAAACTACCAAACATCGGAATCTAACGATAACCTACCTGTATATAACTCGCGAGGATTTCGCGTTGTAATAGTTTCACTTCTAATAGATTATACGTGGAGAAGTGTAATTTTCCTCGGGTATAAACGGTTTCGCGCCTGTTTCTCGGAATTTAGATGTAAAATTGGCCGGTTGATTTACCGCTTTGTTGCTCGAAAAGGCTTATACGAGGCACTGAAACATTGCCAGGCACGTTTTGCGGAAACTCGGTGGATAAAAATCGCGGTTTATTTATCCCGAGAGTTGGTATTTTCGTGGCTACCACTTAAATTATCGATACCGTGAATCTGAATTACCACGTTTCGCATCTTTATTCGCGCGCCACTCTCCAGACAAGGACACCCATCTATTTATCCAGCCATCTAGTCCTGGTAAAACGTGTTCTACCCGCGGAGGCCTATGGGCTAGTTAAGGTGATTTATCGTCTCGTAAAATATATCCCCTGTCCCCTCCCCTTCGCCGTTGTCCGGTCTGTTGGAGGCAGAAACAGACAGTGGCCAATTTAATTTCAATTCTTACCCCGGCTAAATGTCTACGTCGATTCGTGAAAAAGAAACGACCATTGTCTACTGCTCAAGTGCCGCTAGCGAAACTTAAAATGCCATTTAGCCGATATCGAAGTGAGAGATATCAGACGCTTTATTATCCTAGAGGAACGTTTGTCGGGTGGTGATTTTCTATTTTTACGCCGTTCGCGAAAGTTCGAATATCGTTGGGTCTTTAATTCAGCGTGTCATACTTAGATGTGACGTTGATTTGTTGGGAGAGAAGCTTGTGACACGTTGAGAGTTGTTCTTGGAATGTAGATACTGTTATTCGAGATATCGAGTGAGATGGAAATAGAGCGAAATCGGTAAATATTCGAGTGGGTTTAAATATCGAAGATGATTTTATTTTTGAGAGAATTTGTTGGAACACAATTTCGAATCTTGGGAAATAGAAGGTGTACCGAGTAACTGCTCAAGTTGTACTATCTGATCTAATAGTGAAGTGTATGATGCATGATTCGTGTGTGGTAATTTTTCGTTCAACGACGTGGAACTATGTTTCAAGTCAAAATTGAGGTTTATTAGCGATAGTAAGATTATCTACTGTCGATCTTAACTTCTTGCTTTATGATTTTCCCAGTGACCGCGTGTGTCATGGGAGCCTATAAACCACGATATAAAACATGCAAAGTATTCTGTAACGTTTGCAAACATACCTCAGCACAATTTCTAAGTAAATCTAATCTCAGTCACAGTTTAAATTCACTGCGAAAAATATCAGGTTGACGATTCTCCAAAACGAGCCTGCGAAACGAAATTTTTCCAAGCACAATTTCCAAATAAATACAATCCCAATCACAGTTTAAATTCACTGGAAAAATATCAGGTTGACGATTCTCCAAAACGAGCCTGCGAAACGAAATTTTTCCAAGCACAATTTCTAAGTAAATCTAATCCCAATCACAGTCTAAATTCACCCCTAAAGAATCAGGAATATAATTCTCCAAAATGAGCCCGCGAGACGAAGTTTCCCCAAGCACAATTTCTAAATAAATCCAATCCCAATCAGAGTCTAAATTCACCGCAAAAGAAATCAGAAGTACAGTTCTCGAAAATGAGCCCGCGAAACGATAATTTCCCAGAACGATCCTCGCGCTTGGTCTCGGCAAGCAGAGAGAGCCCACTTGGTCAGAGGAAGCAGCCGACATTCCCGACGAGCATCGAAATTTCACAGGGCGCGACAATTTCGCTTGGTAATTATATTTACAGGGAGTGGCACTCGACCTACTCGAACTCCTCCTCGTCCCTTTTTACCCTAGTGCCGCGCAACGGGAAACGCGGTCGCGCGATCCTGTAGAAATCCGCGGCGCAGGACCAAGCCTGCGTGAAACCTCGGGACGCTGCTTCCCATCGCCATGGTTACGTGCCGTGTTTCCCCTCGCCCCGTTCACGTTCTCCGCTCGCGAGATGCAGGGTTTCATCCCTCTGTACGGCCGCAGCGCCGGGGCGGCTCCCGTGCGGCGCAGACGTTCGTGCCGGTTGACCCAGGTCGCGCGATCCTCTCTCCTCCTTGGAACCTTCTTCCCCAATTTTTTCACTGACTACCTCTGTGTCGCGTTTCAACACACCCTTACGGACCTAGCACAGTGCCTGAAGAACCACTCAGCGTCGATTTTGCGAAGGCTACTCGACGCGAAACGGGCTGACAGAACGTGGAAGACTCGATAGAGGGTGGCTCGGAGAGATACTGTGACCTTGAGGTTGCAGACAGGTGTACAGGAGGCTGTGAGAGAATTCTGTGATGGAGAAATCGATAGATAGATAGTATTCTTGATAAGGTGGATCGAGTATTTTTGGTAGACCGTGTGATAGTTAATCATGACACCTGGAGGCGTGCCACGCGTGTCGGTTGCTCGAGGAGAACGAAGTGGAGGTGATCGACACGGTGGAGTAAGGTTCAATTAGCACGAACAAGAAGTTCCTATGGTTGGATGTGGATAGTAGAGGAGTAGAAGTGCGAACGCTTCTTCTGTTCGTGAACGAGGTGCGAGATGGAAACGTGAACGAAAGCGCGTTGGACAGCCGTGGAGAGATTAACGGGCGAGATTTTCGTCGATGAATCATCGCGGTTGGGCGGACTGCTTCTCGCGGTTTCTCGTGGAAAAGGCAGGAGGTGGTGGAGGTGAAGGCGTCGGCCGATGTTGCGGAACGATTCGTAACGAGCGCGCCACTCGCGCCGACGACGTGCAATCGACACGTGGCTCACGCCACATTTACGATATCTTCTTGTTGCAATCTTTAAAATCCTTCGCAACGAATGTTACGTTTCAAAGAAAGATGTACAGAGAGATTTAACCCTTTGACGATCGAAGGTACAGGAACGACAGTTTCGCTGTACGAACAGAGATTGAAATAATTTTAGAAACGATCTGTCGTAGATTTCGTTTTCTAGGATACAGCTTCGCGTGTATCCTGAGTGAAAGAACTTAGGGTAGTCGTGTTCCTATGATTCGATTACGGCGGTGTGATCATCGAGATAATATATTTCCCGAGAATCCTACGTCGTGATAGTTCCACGAGTCTTCCATTGATAAAAAACCATGACCAACTCGAACAGTAGCTCGCTGTCGCGAGCCTGGCTAAGGGCAAATTGCTGCCGCTGCGGTGACACGCGCCAGGACACCGTGAACAATAACCTGAAGGAGGAGACGCCACTGCGGGAGGAAACCGAGACCCTTTTGCACCGCATCGCGTTCACGGTTTGGCACACTGCCCTCCATATAGAGAGCGAGGTGCGTGGGTGGGTGTTAGCGCAGTCGCCAACTCGTTTTCTACACGCGTTCTCGTTTTGGAAAAAAAAAAAAATGAGAAAAAGAGGAACGAAATTACGCTCCGTTGATTGTTACTCCAGGGAAATTGAATCCGCGTGGGGTTAGGAGAGAGGGTTGTTAGAAGAACCGAATAATTTACTTTCCCACGCGACGCGGAAGGATTTACGCGGATCGACCGGGAACAGAGATCGATGATGTTTATTATGAAACGTGGCGCACTGCTACGTCGAGTGGTGCATTCACGCGACAGCTGTTTGCGGATGACCAATGGAAATAATTTACGCGATGTATTTGTTATCGTTGCCCCCGGCATTTCCTCTCGCGACACACCTTGCTCTGCACGTGATAAAATATTCGCTTTTTTCTTTTCAAGCTCCTTTTTTATTTCGAGAATGTACGCTCGCCGCGCGGAACTTTCGGGTCAAGTGGCATTTTGCACTTGTGAAAACATCGCGCCTGTGTATCGTTGTGTGTTTTTCATTTAAACAATTACTTGGCGAGTGAGAGGGAGACTGAAAGGTGTTCTTGTAGCGGAAAAAGTATCTCTTTTCGAGGAAAGAATCGTTGGTAGGAATATCTTATTGGAAAATTAAGGGGAAAAAATTGAGGATTTTTTGAAAAATTGTATCTTTCGTTCCAAGAAATATTTTTAAATTCTAATGGACGAGTATGTGTAGGATGGTTCAAGGAACCGGTGGTTAAAATTTCGTTTTAATATCTCTTACGGTTTTCGAGAGAAAGGTACACAAAGTTAGCACATCTATCACTGCTAAGATGAACCTTTTCGTCTCCTCTCGACGAAAGAATTAAGGGAAAATTTAACAGAGGTCTCTTCTATTAAGAGAGAAATTAACAGAGACGTAATAGGACAAACTCTGCCGGAGAGTAGTGCATATATAATTTCTCTGCGTATGAATTGAAGAAGTTTCTTCGTTCTTTTGTTTCAGCATAATGGGGGTTACGAGGCGCAGCCGAAAAATGTCACCACCATTTCGAGGAGCAAGCAACAGCAGCAGGTAAAAGTCATACACATCTCTCTCTCTCTCTCTCTCTTTGTAATTTCAAATTTATTCTACCATAAATCATTTGGATCGATATACATCTTCGGGACGGTAACGAATGTACATTTTTGTCTCCTGGGAAAATTGCACTCGTGCCCTCTCTCCTCTTCTTCAGCCGCGCCGGGGTCATAAATTATTCATCAGAATCTCAGTTAGTGTGGGCCTGCTAATGAACCGATTCGAAAATTTGCCCGAGTAAATGCATCACTCGTTCGTGCTATAAATTATTCCGGTGTAATTCGTCGTCGTGAAGCTTCTGGTTGGAAAAAGGTCGAAAATACATAAACTCTCCTCCGCTCGTGTGTGTAGTATACGATCGTTATGCTAAGTGGTCCGCCACGTTGCATCACGGTTTTATCGTTTTCCCCTCCCCCCATTTTACGATAAGAAGTCGCGATTTGCGGCCATTTGTAGCCAGCCTCTCTAAATATTTAATATTGCAACAAGCCGACCGTGATACGTACGAGGAAGTGGCGTCTTATTGGTCGAACGTTCTACGCACGCCGATTGCATCAGGCGTGCCTTCGTTTATTCCGCGGGAAAACACGGCCAAGCCCTATTTACATTCAAAACGGCGCTCTCTGCTCGTTGTCGGCGAACCAAAGATCCCCTCTTTCGCGTGTACACGTGTACTTGACGCCGCGACTCAGCGTTTCGCGAACGATTGCCATGCAAAATTGCATCCACAGACCTCGAAATAGGCTACCAAACGATTTGCAACTCGTCACGTGTGTGTGTATATGTGTGTATGTACGTGTTCGCTTTTGGGGAAATCGGTGAATTTCGACGAGTATATTTTACTTGCCATTTCGCGAATCGAAATTCTGTGTCTGGCTGGAGTGAAAGGGGTGAGATTGGAGGTAGTTTGTTGGGGAAAAATTTGGAGGAAATTGTTCGGAATGTTTGCTGAATAATTACGGGAGCATATATGAAATTTTCAATTGTGCAATGCTCTACAACGTTCTAAATTTTTATAAACGTTCAATTTTCAAAACTCACAATTTTCTCGGAAATAAAATGCATTAGCGACAAAAGGGGTAAATTGATAAAACGAATCGTGGATCTCAAACTGAAAGGGAAATTTCAAAATTTACCGATAACGATTACTTTTTTATACTGTATTCTCGTGTGAAATTTATTCTAAAGCTTTCTCAAAATTTATCAACCATGAAAAACTCGATTTTTGCCTGCATCATTTTTCCCTGGTACTGGAAGACACCATAATCGAGCACGCTACAACGACTCCCGAGATAAGCATCGGATAGAGCAACACGTTGGGGTGGATTAAGAGTAACATCGTAAGGGGAGAATGAAAAATGAGCCGTGGAGATGGGTTTGAGGGAGCGTTCACGTTGTATCAGAGATTTTTTTCAAACGTCGCAAGCGTGTAGGCCAGCAGCTAGGCGTCTTTTGCGCATTAACGTCGACACCGGGGAAAATTATTCGGTAAAATGGCAGTAAGCTAGCGTACTGTATGAACGGCGCTGGTAGGCGCAGGTATCAACCGATGTTCCAGCGAGATAATCCAAGTATATTGACGTCGACCGTGTAATGTATTCGCGTAAACCCTTATCCACGCTCATACCGCGGCTGTTCTTGCGAAAATATATACGCAGCCCGTGGAGGAGCGTTGAATGCAAAACGCGGCACGATGTGAGAGAATTCTGACAATCGCTCGTAACTGGTTATTACCGATTGTCGCGAATACCAGTCCGTTATCCACTGCTAATCCGCCGTTGATCGTATGGAAATTTATCGCAAAATTCGAACGTCGATGACGAAAATCCCGAAAACGATAGTTCGTTTATTCGCCGCAATCTTTTATCTCTGTCCTGCTTGAAATTTTCTCCAAGCTTAAAACAATGAAAGTGCAACGGAAGAATGTGAATAATTTCACGAACGAAACTGTTCACCTATCGATCCGATCAATCTTTCTCTCTCTTTCTCCGTTTCGACGAACCGCGCCGGCTAGCAGAGTGCACGTCAGGGCGGAAAGAAGTCGATAACGATAAAGCCCACTCTCGCTTGGCACTCTACTTCCAATTAGAAATTAGCCGCCGGCAATTACGCGGATTAACGATAATTGACATTACCGGCGCGACGTTCCCTTCACGCCCCCGAATAATTGCTTCCTATCAATGCGCGCCGACCTACGCTAGCCCTTCTGTAACACATCACCCGGAGAATTAAAAAGCAAACAGCGCGAGAAGAAGAAAAGGAACTAAGAAAATTCCGTCTTCGTGTCTCGCATCTCCGAACAATTTCTCGGAATGAAAACAAGCTATTTCAGAATTCGCTGTACCGCGTTCAAACGTTCTAGCAGCAGCTACGGTAAAGAGACCTCGTGGTCCCATTAATCATTCCAAAGTTTCCAGCCCAACACCGGCTAGAACGCTTCTAATTCCGCGTCCGGCCGATTTTCATTCACCCCGCGTGTAATCCCTCGGCGATTTCCGGCCCACGCGGTGCAAATTGAAATTTTAACGATTCCCGGGACGGTAAAGAGAAAAGAAATTCACGGCGGTCCGCGTCAAAACAGCCGCGGAAGCGTGGCTAGATATCTAGACCTGGTTTTAAGGAGAGAAACAAAGAGAAAAGCTGCGGCTCTAAAAATACACGTTTATGGGATCATAACGCGGCTTCTCTTGGTGCGGAGCAGAGCTTCGACCAAGCTGCATATACGTCGCGGTCTGCTACGGTCATAAATACCTCCCACCGTTAGGTCTCACGTGTGAAATTGCTATTACGCCTTGGTACCTTAGGTCCTACCGCAGCTGTCGCTCCTTCGAAACCCGCCACGCTCTGTGTGTGTGTGTGTGCATGTCCTTCGTATTTCTCACGCTTGCTTAGGATTCGAAGATCGACGGGGGGCCTTTTCGTATCCGGCGACCATACTCGCGTGGAATCCGCCACGTCGGGGGATATTCGCGGGCGATTTGTCAGGCGTCACGCGCGAATAAGTCGTAATATCGTCTGACGTCTCGTGGATTTTTCATCTACCGGGAAGGAATAACTCTGTCGGTTCAACGCGGCTGGATAACTCGCTTGTGATAGCGTTCACGGGGACCTGCACAACCCAGCGGTATCCTTTCTGGGCTCTCCCTGGATTATTCCGTGAAAAGATGCTGGCTCAGGAATGTTTTAGGAATAGGTAGGATGCGGTTGATGGGGGAGAAATGTGTGTATTGTAGTCGGTGGTTGAGGAAGTGCCAGTTTTTGTCCATTTCTGTGTCTCTTGTTCGCGTTTGAAATTAACTATACCGAGATTTGTTCCCCAATATTTCCGGCAAGGCGTTTTTACCTTCCAAACTCTCTGCGGACCCTTTGCCTGTAGAAACGGGAGAAAAAAAGTGCGCACAGTATAAAATTTGTACGTTTTCTAGGCAATAATTGACTGAGCGCGCGCTACCAAAAAATAATTCCGACCGAAAAGACTACCAATAATTGTATCTGTTAAATCGTCTTACCCGAGTCACACACAATATCTCCAAATAAGAGTACTTATTTCCCTCTTGGTTTCGAACAATTCATCACACAACACTGCTTCGCGAGAAACACCGGACACTCTCGAGAGGTGAAAATGGACTCTTCCCTTCTCTTTAGAAGGGCAAGAGGACATTGAAACGCGCAGAAACTCGTTCGATCGTTTCCTCTACTAAAATTACAGCCGAGCGCAGATGCCGACGCGATTCACGGACAAGGAACTTATTCATATTTCTCCGTCGACACGATTTTTCCGTGTCGCCCTTGAAGTCGAATTACTCACGTCGCTCGTCGCTCGCTTTATCGTCCCGTTCTCCATACTGCAACTCGCTAATGCCTCTCGCGTCTAATGACGAGCGTGACTTTGACTGAAGTCACGCTACCTGGACGAATTCGTTACATCATATCGTGTGGATCGCGGAGAGAAATCGTTGCATAGGTTAAAGTAACATGGTGGGGAGGGAACGTCAGGTGTTCGAGACCGCCAGTCTCAACTGTACTGACAAGACGTGGTGAATTCAACGGAATCGAGCGAACAACACACAATACCAGGCAGTCTGTCATCCCGTCGTGGAGCATCTTTCTTCGTCGACTTCGCCGCAGCGATAAAAGCTCCTCGCGTTTAAGCACACCAGGATTTCATGTCGATTCCCTGCGACAACGTAACTCCCGTTGGGCCACCGCCATGCCGGGATGCGTCGTCAGGATCGTCTACGCACCGAAATACACCAAGGTTAAACTTTTCCTGAAGACGATGTGTCAGATTTCTCCGCGGAGAACATATTTTTCGAGTGATTTCTTCGATCTCTCTTTTGGTGAATTTTGCTGGTGCAGAGATTTGTGAAACTAGGTCCCTCGTTGGAAGCTTTCTTTCCTCGATTTTATTTACCGTGCATCTCCAATTCATTCGAATCGTCGCAATTTTTGGTGAACTCGGGGAAGAGACTTGGGAAACTAGGTTCCCAGATCCTCCACTTAATCGAAACTATTGCAACAGTTCTGCTCGTCGTAATGGTAGAGAGATTTAGGGAGGTTTGTGGAACTAACTTGCCAGATTTTATCTGCAGTTCTTCCTTTTCCTTTTTTTTTTGCAATTTATCGTCTCTCTTTGTGGAATTTCCAGAGAGAAATTCGTGAAATCAAGTTTGCAGATTCTTTGCGACGAAGATTATTTCGACGATGTTAATTGCGGATGTTTCAGATACAGACGTCCTCGTCGGCGACGACACCCGCGAGGACGCCGGGCGTCGGCGCGGACGCGACGACGACAGGATCCGGAAAGGGCGGAGGTCGCGTCACAGAAGTAATGGAGTTTTGTTACGTCACCGAGAGGATCATTGCACTGTGGTACAAGGAGGATGCGCAGGGAGTCCTTGAACATGCTACCTCGCTACTACGAGGAAAACACGCTGATAATTATATGGTGAGCGTCGATGGGAATGTCGGTAAAGTAATGGTCGCTCACCCGGTGAAACGTTTTTATTAAATAACGATCGCCATTAAATGAAAACGATCCTAGGATAATTGGTGTATTACCAGATAACCTTTATACACTCTAATTAGCGCGACAATTAGCACGATACTCGCACTTGAATCTCTCAATATCCTGCCAAGTGATTCTCAATCGTTCCGCGATTTTCCCTGTGCACTGTGGGTGGAAAATGTACACTGTCGCTCAAAAGTTGTACGTATTGCAAGAAGCATTAATTGAAGAAATTTTTACCGAAAAGTTTCTTCAAACTAACCTACAAATAAACTGTACTATTTTATTCAAACATTCCGTGTATTCTCTGTATTCACAAATTTACGGAGATCTATAGATCTGCTCTCTGTCTTGATCAATTATTTACCAAGTGACGATTACTTAATGTCGCTTCTCAGGTCGATTGCAAAGGGTTCAAATTAATTAGGTAGACCAGAGATCCTAAATTGCTGGTCACAAGTCTACCTCGAAGCTTTTGCAATTGCACGCTTCGTTACCAGTTTCTCAGTTAGGTTCAAGTTCAAAAAATAATCAATCTCCAAATTCCTCACTCTACGTACAAAAAAAATTCTTCGAAATTTATCCAACTAATCTCCAACGTTCTTACTCTTCCAGATATTCAACCTGTCGTCGCCCGGTCGTTCAGGCGAGCCGAACACCCGAGAAGCAGGCTGGCCACAGGGGCTGGCACCCAGTTTGGAGCGGCTGTGCGCCCTATGCAAGGAGCTGGACTCCTGGCTGAACGGTGCTCCGAATCGTGTGGTCGTTCTCCATGCCAGGCGAGTGTTTTCCTCCAAGATGATAAAAACAGTTTTACAGAAGAAGAATAAAAAAAAAACAGAAAAGTAGTAAAAGTTCATTCCATAACTCTTTCCTCGCTGTGTGTGCTCAGGGGAAGCAAAGAACGTCTGGGTGTGGCTGTGTCCGCGTACATGAATTACAGCAGCATCTGCGGTGGACGTGATCAAGCGTTGGACAGGTTCGCCATGAGGAGATTCCTCGACGACAAGATTGGATCCCTGCAGGTTCCGTCGCATCGAAGGTAATCACTACAGAGCATGACGTTACCGGCTGTTGACGTTCGACGATAAAAGCAAACTTTATCGCCTCTTAGTTGCG